CTCATCAGTATACCTGACCGAGAACATGCAGTAGGGGGAAAAGCGACTTGTCAAATCAAGTTGTCCTCCCTCCATCTCTGAGCAACAGCGCTTGACACCTGGAGAGAAAGAGAAGTTGCTGCTGTGACATGGTGCTTATCTCAGTCATAGGGTTTAAATGCACAAAAACTGCGGGTCATATATCCCCATCCCTAGTCAAGAGAACATTGTGTGATGAGGGCAGAAAGGAGAGGTGAGGGACAGCTTTGTAATGGTCATCTACAGCTTACTCATAAACATCTGTCTCATTAAAGCCATGGATCAGTCAAGGGTATCAGCCTGAAAGGGCACTCCAACAGCCATTGCTGGTGCACTGCAGGTCTTATCCTGAGCAGCTGGGTCTCTGCGAACCATGGCTAAGGGAGGGGAGTTGCTAGTAACAGAACAGAATTTAAGTGAGAGAGGAATAATAGAAACAATTGGAAACTTAAAGTTCCTGCAATCCTGAATTCAGTCTCAGGGGACCTGCCACCAGGATCCATCCCTGCCTTTCCATTTCTTGTGTCTCTCAAATTCCACAAAAGCAAAATTTTAGACTTTACATCCCTGCTACCAAAGAGCAACGCAAATACATCCTAGTAACTGGCAGTAAAGGAGAGGAATACAAAGCAGGTGGCCTGGCAGAAAAAGAATGACAGGCCCCGTGCACAGCACAGCGAACGTAGCGACCCCTGGGCTGATGCTGTACGAAAAGGAGACACACTAATCTTGACATTGCAGGAGTTCAGCCTGACAGCCAGGTTCTTGCTCTCCCACCATTCATACATGGCACTATGCCTCCTCAAGTGTAGAATGAACTCCCTGGGCAACAGACAATATATGTAGGGGAAAATAATCTGTGTGAGCTATACTTTTCCTGGGAAAACCCCCAAACTTTTACAATTAGCTAGCAACACTTTATTTTACAAATGGGAGAGAGATGAAGGTAAACACCATCCAGAAGACAAAGGCTGAGTCTACCCTCTCAGGGCCACAAAGATGACATGAATGGACAGACTAGTTTTGGCAGGGGTGGGGAAAACAGA